ATAGGGAGGACCTGCAATATACGTGTTAGGCAAGATAGGCCATGGAAGGAAAGACAGGTGGCGAGGGAGTCGCCAGAGCTTATTCCTTCTGCCTCCATGGTTGTTCACGGCATTCCCGAACTGGGAACTGGGAACGCTTGTGAGAAGCACTGTCACGATGTACAGCAATGGAGATGGTTGGCATCCCAGATGGGTCTGGGAAGTTCAGGGGCCGTCTCTATTTATAGACTGCCTCGACCCACTCACCTTGTGTCAACTAACACGCCACGTCTGTTAGCTGTTAAGTTCAGCTCCCGAGACCACTTGACTACTGCTCTTCAGAGATGGTACGAGACCAAGGACAAGGTCAGCAGACACATTCGCTGCTGCGAGAGCCGGCCTCGTACCCAAGGGAGAGAACAAAACGTTGTCATAGAACATCCTCAACCCCTAGTCACAATACAGCGGTGCAGCACGGACGATGATAGCCAGTGTCATCCAAGTGCTCCGATTGAATCAGAAGAAAAAACGCCAACAGGCCGGTTCCCGGGGAGTCGGCCAACTAGTTCGTAGGATAACTCCTCAACCGACGGCCCACATCACGTCAACCACCCCCCAATACGGGGACGTGGTGAGACTGACTACCAGTTGCCTGTACAGTAATGTGAGAGGTCTAAGAGGCAAAATAGCTGAACTTAGATACCTACAATCACAGCTGAACTTCAAAATCATAATACTGACGGAAAACTGGCTAACCCCTACGGTGGCAGACAGCGAAGTCAGTATAAGTGATATGGTCCTAGTCAGGCGAGATAGGGATCTGAAAGAAGGAGGTGGAGTCGCCATATACGTCGACAAACAGCTCAGATGTGTCCATGCAATCGACCCCCCCCCTCATTGAGCTCCCTGACTCCATATGGTGCCATTTCACCGTTGGGTACTGTAAGTATCTAGTGGGCAGCATTTACAGATCACCTTCATGTGAAGCAGACCACAACCGGGTACTGCTGAATGCAATTTCAGCGACACAAGACATGGGTTATGATCAAATTGTCATAGCTGAATTCAATGCCCCATCTCTTAACTTGATGACGGGATATGCCCAGGACAGATTTGATCGAAATCTGCTGCATACCATCACGGAGGCCGGATTCACCGAAAATGTCAGAATGGATACTAGATGGGGCCCAGATGGGAAGTCTTCTAGACTGGATTACGTGCTCACTAGTGACCAGCTACTAGTGGAAAACGTTCAGATTACGACTCCCATAGGTAGTAGTGACCACGCGGTCATAACATTCGACATAGTCCTCCGCGAGCGTTTACAGTGGGACAATACACAGCCCTATCGGTGTTATAACAAAGCCAATTACACCGAAATGCGAAGACTTTTGTCTGAAGCAAATTGGCCAAAAAATTGGACAGAGCTTACAGTAGAAGAACACTGGGGAGTGGTAAAGGAGATCATTCACCAGGCGGTCTCAGACACTGCTCCTTTGGTCACACCTAAAGCTAGAAAGCAACGTTCATGGCTAAAAAGGGGGACACAACGCCTTCTACAGGCGAAGCGAAAAGCCTGGTTTGCGTGGCGAGTATCGAAGAGTCAACCCGAACATGAAGTGTACCTCGAACTCAGGAATCGATGTAACATACGAGTCCGGAGTGATAGAAGGACATTTCAGAGAAACCTCGCCAATTAGCTTCTCGTAAACCCCAAAAGCCTATACAGGTTTATGTCTGAAGGAAAAGCAACCAGCCAGGGAGCTTGCAATCTAGTGGGTTCTGATGGGAAATCTCTTACTAGTCTTGAAATGGCAGAGACATTCAGTCTAGCCTTTCACAGGCAACTGAACAGTAATGAGGATTTTGCCCCCACAAAACATCAAGATTACAATGCAAGACCAAAGTGCGAAAACCTGCTGGGTACATTTCAAATTACCCCGGCTATGGTACCTGTAAAATTGGGAAAGTTGGCTTCGGGAAAGTAATAATAATAATTTATATTTTCATATAAACATAAATTTACTAGTCTGCATGTTGCGACGACATAAGACCATCCGTCCTGAAGCAGTGTCCAGAAAGTCTCTGCCAACCCCTAAGCGTTCTGTTCCAACACTCCTTTGATGTAGGGAAACTTCCATGTGAATGGAAACGAGCCATCCTATCCCCTATCTTCAAGGGTGGTGATCGGCAGAACGCGACCAGTTACAGACCAGTTGCGCCACTCCCAGTGATATCGAAGATGTTGGAAAGTCTCATTGACGACCACATGAAAAAATACTTCGACGGGACTAACCTACTCCATGAAGCACAGCATGGTTTCAGGAGAGGAAGATCCTGTGTGACGAATCTTCTACTAGCTTGGAACGATTGGACACTATCCTGGGATGTAAAATTACCAGTCCATGTGGTCTTTCTCGACTTTGCGAAAGCATTCGACACAGTTCACCATGGTCTGCTCCTTCACAAAATAAGCGAAGCGGGTGTTTCTGGAGCACTTCTCGCATGGCTGGAAGATTATTTAGGCGAGAGATAATTCTGCACCAAAGTCAACCGCATCCGACCATCCTGGCACACCTCGGCAACAGGGGTTCCTCAGGGTTCTATCTTAGGGCCGTTGATGTTTTTGATTTTTATCAACGACCTGCCCTGTCAACTGAATTGCTTTGCGCTTCTTTACGCTGGCGACGTAAAGATTTGGAGAGCAATAAACTCATCGGAAGACTCCGACAGATTGCAGGCTGACCTGCAAACTCTGGGATTGATATTATTTGTAAACAAACGGATCTACTACCGTTACCGGAAGCAGAGATGAAGCGACTACTGCTGCTCTGCACAAAAGATATACAATTCAAATTCAACAATCAACTCTACTGACAAATTGATGGGGTCGCTATGGGTTCACCTCTGGGACCTATCCTGGCTGATATCTTCATGGGCTACCTTGAACAGACACAACTAAGTTCTGCTATCAATGGAACAACCTACTATCGCCGATATGTTGATGACACATTTGTTGTTTGCAACGACATGGATCACGCATCGGCATTATATGATCGCCTAAATGAGATTCATCCAAATATCAAGTTCACCATGGAATATGAAGATAAAAATGAGTTCAATTTCCTGGATCTAAATGTAAAAAGAACAAACGAAGGCATGATTGAAAAGTCCATCTATAGAAAAGAAACCTGGACTGGACAATATCTCCACTATAACAGCTTCTGTCCCATAAGCTATAAACGTGGATTAGTGAAGACTTTGTACGACAGAGCCAGGAAGCTATGTTCACCAAACAAGGTCGAAGAAGAACTAGATTTCGTCGAGAAATGCCTGAGGGAAAACGGATACCCTAAAGGATTTATACAGAAGTATAGCAGAGAAAAAGATAAGAAAGAAAAGCATCCAACTGTAGAAAAGAAAAAAGTGTTTATTTGTCTCCCATTCAAAGGAGATGCAGTTTCACAAAAGATTGACAGAAGACTGAAAGGAGCAATAAATAGAAGCTTCCCGGCAGCAAAACTCGTAACAGTATACAACACCACTCCTTCCATGATCCACTAAAAACTGGATAAATACCCTGCTGATGTCAATTCCAACTGCGTTTATGAATTTACGTGCACTTGTGGGGGCAAGTACATTGGAAGGACAGAAAGAAGGGCTTCTATCCGGTTTTCTGAACATATTCCAAGAAACCTATGCCTGAAAGGAAGCAAATATTCTCAGAGTGCAATTACCAGACATATCGTTGATACCGGACATCTCGTAGAGATTTCTAAGTCCTTCAAAATATTAAATAGACAAAGGACAGCAAATTTGCTACGATTTGCCGAAGCGATCGCAATCAAACGATTTAAACCAGACTTATGCATACAGAAAGAGAGTGTGATTAACCTCTCACTCCCTTGGTAACTGAATTTTGATTTTGATGAGTCATCTAATTCAGTGATCTCAACTCACTGAGCAAATCTCAATCTTATAAACTGTAAATGCTTTTGTTTTTTGTAGTTGCCATGTGAACCTACAAGCTAACACTGTTTCTGTTAATCAATTTTTCTGTTTTCTGTCTTACCCCCCCTCTTTTCAACTCTGAAAGTGTATAAATTGATGATGATAACTTAAACTAAAAATTGTAATGCTTTCATTCTTTTTTTTGAATGCGTCAATTTTATCTCTTCTCTACTACTAATCAAACATTAAAGTATGTTATTATCATTTATATAACCATTGTAATTTCAGGTAGTCTGCAGCTGAAGAGAACCTGTGAAATAGAATGATATCATTTTATACTGCAAATTTCGTCTTCCTTTCTTTATCAAGGGAACCAGTTGTGTGAAACTCTATCTTTTCTTTCTCTCTTTATTATTTCACCTTTAATATTTCACTTATCTCAACCTATATTATCTACACTACAACGTATTATTATTCTACTTTTATGACTATACCGAATGACCAACGGGTGTTAGGTGAAACTCCATTCACGACAGCAACTGAGTCCTAACATACTGCACACTACAAACCACAATCTTGACCAATCCTCGCACCACTCCTCTTGGAGTCTACCAGAGCTAAAGCAGTCGAGTGGCGGGATTTACTACGCATAAGTTCACCGAAGATCTGGAACCTCTACCTTACAATCAAGAAGCGAGCTCAAAGAAATCACTGGTTTATACTAGCTAGTAATCAGGATATTGGATATTGGAAATCCATATAACCTACACAAATTACATCTGCTATTTTTATCTCTTTTTGCTATGACACCGGATGATTAACATGTGAAAGGATCAGCTCTTAACATACCACATACTACAAACTATCTCTGATTAATACCAGCACCACTCCTTTTGGAGTCAACAAAAGCTACGACGATCAAGTGTTTGGACGAACTATGCAAAAGTTTACCGAAGACCAGGAACCTTCTCCTCACCATCAAGAAGTGGGCACAAAGAAATGAAAGTAGCGCACACTAGCTCGCAAAATTATATTTGATTTGGAGGTCGTGTTAAGAGGTATTGTACTGGATGTCGAAACGCACCGTTCTATTTTCAAATAGGTTCGTTACTGACTGAGTTTGTGTATTCTAACTATTTGTCCGCAGTTCTTCTCTTTATAACGTCTTTTACTTCAGATTAGTGTCTATTGCAATCAGTTGCAATTAACAAATTGGATATTTTATATTTGTAGCCTGAGAATGAGAAGTGAAAGGGTCGTTGTACCTGGTGATCTAATATGCTCCTCTGATGCTACCCGAAAAAGTGGCTCATCAACATATGTTTCCTCTGGCAACATCCTGTCAAGTGCTTTTGGATTTGTCAAGGAGGAATCGCATGCCGATGGAACAGTACAACATATTTTTAACATGTAGTTATTATTATTATTATTACTAGAAAACTTATTCGGTAGACCCGCTGAAACCCGCTGGCGTAGTACCTGACATAGGCTCACTGGTATTGGCAAAGGTGAGTTGCTTATTCACACGCTTTATGGTTAGTTATTGTGGGAGAGTTGAAATTTCGAAACTGTCAGGACGGGATGTTGGCTTATTTTGTGCTTTTGTGGTTATGAGCTGCCAGACCGCAACTTGTTGCTAATGCATAGTCATTAATTATTGATATCACCATTGTGAGGAGATGGGAGCTGCTGGCTGTAAATCACAAGGGATTCCTGTATATATGATATAAAATAGTTTACAATAACGGTATGTGTTTGCTATCGTTATCATAATGATTCCATACCGGATATATTAATTTATAACACGGTGATACAGATTATAACTGTCCAGCGTTTAGAGTAAAGTTTGTTGCCTACACATTAAAACTTTAGTATGCTCAAAGTCAGCCCGGCTTAATTAGCAATACACCGGCTTTGTGTCCTGCTTGGTCTACCGCTTTTGACCTGTATTTTCTGTTTTATTTACTAATTGCAATTGACGTGTCCTATTGGCTTTTGATGAAAAACGGAGTATACATAAAATTATGTATATATATAAATACTTATATTTAAACGCAAACGTGGGCACTAGAGAGAAAACGGGAGGTTCAGCAAAAGCATGTATATGTACATATGTATTATTTTCCATGTTCATTTAAAAAAATGACAATTGTTACACTTAAGCAAGAATCGATATGATTAATAATCATTCTAGCGCACCATCAAATTTCACAGCTTCTCTTATTTTGTGGTAAAGACTTCGACTCTGCTTATGCCCTGATTAAGTATTTGGTTTTCCAAATGAACTTTGTTGGGCATATAGGAATGAGTCCCACTTTTAAGTCCTGTTATGGGTGGAAGACGATTCTACGCAAAATTAACTTTACATTGGTTTTAAATTTTTCATTGAAGTAGTTCATTTTGCATTCTGATGCAGTTTTTTCATCATGGTTGACGTGTGCTTAAATAAGTAAGATATTAGCGTCTGTAGCATCCATTTATAATCCTTAACAAATTTCACTCTTTTTATCTAGGTATCTAGTATTACATGGAAATTTGTTCGCTGTGACATATTTGCCGTTGGGGGTACTTGTCTTGCAGGACCGTTCAAGGGTCTTATTAGACGAGAGGATATTCGTGCTACTCAGAGGGATCAGGCGGAACCAGGTGATTGGTTCAAACCAGGAGATATTGTGCGGGCTCGTGTAATCAACCTTCTGGGACCCGGAGCATATGCAAATGCAGGTTCAATTATGTCTAGTACTTCGTCTCAGACCTTATCTACTTTGTTAACTACTCAAGCTTTATCTTGTTCTCTCGCGGCCACAAGTGACGCAAACTTGGGTGGATCTAATTCTGTTTGTCTTTTATCCACTGCTGAACCGGATTTAGGAGTTGTTATTGGTCTTGGAAGGTCTTCTGAAAATGATTTATCAGAACTTCTTGGCAGTACAAGTGGTTCTCCTCTTGTTCCTGTTGGATGGACTGAAATGTTGTGTCCCCACACACTAGCTCGATATCGTCGAAAAGTCGCTCGTGTACCTGATGAACTTGTAGCTCAGTTGACTTGTGCTAAACTTGAATAAATTATTTAAAATAAATTCTGTTCTGGTTTTTAGAATTATGTATCTTGTATTGTGTTGCATTTTTCTCTTGTACTGATAACACTTCGGAGACTGTGTTCACAGAATTGAGCAGATTTGCTTCATGCTCTAATTTCTTTTTATGATTAACTCTAATATATGTCAGTTTTCTGTTTGTACAGTGGAATTGGACGACTTGATGTACCACACCATTATGCTAGGTCTTACGTTGTATGCTTTTTCTCAGATTTCAAAGGTATCTTGATCTTAAGAATGACACAATGGTGAGCTAAGTAGTTCCAGGTCTAGTTGAAGGTGAATTCACCAGCCCCTCAATTTTTCGCGAGGCGTTGAAGTATGAGTATACCCGCCTGTATTTCAGTTACATTCTGTAACTTCACAGTGATCATCAGTCTAAAGCGTTGGGAAATTTCGTCAAACTCTGAGAATATAAAAAAGACGTATGTTGCAATCACTACTTACCAAATGCTCTGTACAAGCTTGTTGACAATTATTCTAGATGCTCATCACCATTCGACTCTACTACGTCTAGAGATATTGATGGTAGCGTATGAATGTGTTAGAAGTAGTAGTGCCATGCATTAATGCTTGACTGTATGCAGACAGTGTCTTTGTCTGAAGATAATTCGACTTAGTTCTCATTCAGCTTGCTTTGTCTTTTGCCCAGTGTGCCTTTTTGATATGAATTATACGAAATACATAATTGTGTTATGCGAAATTAGCGAAGAAATATGGAATTTTTTGAATGTTTTCCTCACCCTTCGTCTGTAAGACTGGTCAATTAAAGCACCTCACAAAGTTGAAAGTATGTAGTACACAGTTCCAGAATGACTAAATTTGTTATAAAACTGAAGGATAGCTTGATACAAAGAAAAAAGAAACTAAGCAATAACGAATATATTTGCAGAATAAAAAGAGCTCTTTTTTTTCCTCAGTTACTAACAGTTTAAAATATCAAATATTATAAGTGTAAGTGCTTCGAGATTCCTTGATTTCAAAGGGTACGCAATAATTTTTAGCACATTTATAGAGCAAAACGTATGAATGTGAGATAGTTAATAGTCGAACAACTACAGTTTATGAAGATGCATGTTAGGAAGTCTGACAGCTAGTAGGAGATGGAGGGAGCGAATAGACATGATAAGGAAAAGTAAAATTACTACTTTAGCAGGCAATTAAGTATGCCGGAATCATAAAAATGAGTCAATGAAAACCAAAATCGGGTAAAGCTTATAAAACAGCACAAACCTCTAGTTATTATGGTAGTTCTAGGTTAATCACAGTCTTTCAATGTGTATTCCTTCTTGCTTTGTTTGAAGCAATCAGGCAGACCGAGTGTACGGAAGAAGGGATAATACAAAGAAATTAAATCCTAGTCGTGATGAATGGGACTGTGAAATGAGCATATAAGTAAAAGACTGCAGTCTTTTTGAGGTTCACAGTACTAGTCTGTAATGATGGTTTTCCAGTTACCCTAAGTATTCGTCCTGATAATCATCTAATTAATTCTTTTTACTAACATGGTAACATCTAAGCCATATGACGACAGTAGACTAGACTTCTTTATCAGAAAATAATCACTTGATGATTATGGCTCATGAACTCTATGTGGCCGATGACGTTACTAGTTATATTGAAAAGCTTCGACTTAGTGGTCATTTATAAATTTCTATATTACTAAAAAACTGTGCTAATGAAAACTCTCCGTCGAAATTAGTTTGCTTTTCAAGCATAGCATCCCAAAATTCTATTAGAAACAATACAGGATAAGTTGATTTTTTATGTTTGCACTTCCTCACTCATTGTCCTGATTAAAGTCCGTTCCCTTGTTATTCATCTAAAAAGACTGCTTAATAGCAATGCTGTATTTAAGTTTCATTGTACAAAAAATGCCTTGGAACAATAGTCCATTTAGCTGAATATTTACAGTAGGTCACCACAGCTCTGTAAATTTCTGACGTAACAGAAGGTTAATTCATTGAGTCCTAAAACTGTCAACTAGAAACAAATATTAGTTACTCTATTATTCGTTAATATTGAAGCATTTAGTACTAGGAGTTACTTTCGTTTACAATAGCTGTCTGTTGGTTCAATGCTGTTTCACTTCATTAAGACCATCATATACAGTAGCTAAAATCCAGTGTTATTTAGGTATTTTTTTAGAAGGGAAGTCGCTTCATATGCATCACTGTGCACTTTTCTTTTCCGGTAATTACTCAACTACTTCGTAAACTACGACTACCATTGGATTTTACGTTGTTTACCTTGAAATATTGGTGTTAACTCCATAAGAATAACAATAATTGTTATTATTACTGTTCCCCTGGGGTTCCGAGTAGAACATAGGGCTTCAACAACACATTTCCACTTCTATTTTCTGCCGTACTCCTTAGCTGGATCCACGATTACTCAAACTCATCTCTTCCTCACACGATCTCCTCCATGTCACCCTAGGATGACCCACTCGTCGCTTCCTATTTGGATTCCACTCGAGGGCTTGACGCGTGATGTCATTCGACAGCAAGGGAATAGGAAACAGTAATCAAAAGATGGCGAACTTAGGCAGATAGATGGACAAAAGTCCTTGTGTATAGTATGTGAAACGTCTAAAGATGGGAAATTAAAAAACTCTAGTGTTGCTGTGGGAGAAACTTGGATTAATCACAAGTGATAATTCTCAAGATGTTATTGTAGACGATTTTGATCCATGTCACCAAGTTTTTGCAACAGAATGACGACTCCAGCAAAACGCTATAAACTTTCACGTCAACAGTCAAGGACTTTAATGTGTTCTAACCATCCATAATTCATTTCCCATTTAAATTTGACATAGTTAACTTTGCCTGTTGAGGAGGGCCATGGTTCAACTTATGTAGTGCATATCTCAGCCACTCCAACTAATTCACATTCTCACCGTCTGACTGTCTTTCGCTATCTCACACTTGACATTTTTAATCATATGGTTCTAAAACACGCGAGGAATGCTACGAATTATGTCGCTTTTGTATCTTTTGGTTTCAGAGTTCGCACCCAGTCTATAAAGTATACCATAGTAAACTGCCTCACAATACATCTTCCCTTTGATAAGCTTTCGATTAACTCACCATGATCGATAGTGATGCAAATTGACAGATGTTAAGTGGGTCTTTTCTGTGTTTCCCTATATTTCGTCTACAACTACTTAACTTGTGCTAACATGCCCACTCATACTTCTTTGCGAGCATTCAAATCCTTGTATTTTATCAACGTCTCGATCCAAAGGAATTATGCCGTCTGTGTCCGACAAACCAAATTGCTTTTTTCCAATTAGCATTTTCACTTCTGAGGTTGTAAAACTGGAATATTACTCAACAGCCACTTGCATTTCCATATAGTTGCCAATGAGTAACACATATTGTGTGAGAGCTAGTGATGCTATCTGGCTATCCGAACCCCGAGTAAAGCCGGGTTCGAACATGTAACCCAGTTTATGGAAGCGGGGCTGCTAGGTTAGCGAGCCGCAGGTCTACATTTCCAAGATTTTGAAGTTAGATAGACTTATCCCCATTTGAACATCTACGATAAGACTGAAGAAAAAAGGTACTACTGGACATACGTAGTGGACCTTGCCGGTAGTTGCTGTTCGGAATGGAAAGCTTCTGTTAGTTTTTACACGATTATGTAAGTTCGAGTAGCGTTCTGAAGAATAGAATGTGAAGTTCTCTGGACCCCGTCCTTATGCCAAGATGTTTTCACAAAACTAAGTTTATAGATTTAGATTCTGCCTCCAGATCTGAAAGTGGTAATTACAGTCAGTATACATGTCTGCCCCCGTTAAGCGGTGAAGACTCAATACGTTCATCTTTTTCAAGCCTTAAGCCTGTCTGTGTTTCTCTTTTTAACCGTTCCCAAACTCTATTCAACCTTCAGGCAATTGAATTCGCTAGAATCAAGCTGATCATCATGTGGATGTGTCAGGAATATTTGACATTTCCGTAAACTTTGCGACTGCTGTCGATTTCTTAAAGACAGTTGGACTAAAACATGATAAAAATCCATGAAGTTTTTAATTTTTTGCTCTGAACCACTTAGAGAAGTATAGACTACTTAGCTGGGTCACTCGAGATGCTAGGAATTATTCGTTGGAGACTGTCGGTGACATTGCTCAAAATTAACTCATCAAATCAGCATCTTTGTTAGGGAATGGAGATCATTTTCATTATATTATTACCGTTGGATGCTTTTATTAGTGAACGTCAGTGGCTTTCGGTGAAACTTGTTCTTTACTTCATTCATTCACTAGGTGAGTAGAGTGAGGATAGATATATACATAGTAGCAGGTGTCAGGATCACTATTTGCATTGTCACTCAAAGTCTTGGTCGTGAAAGAAGTCATTCTCAAGAATGTGAATTCAACATTAAGTTTCCGACTAGTAATAATCTTGATGCCAGAGTTGTTGGATGGATATTATTATTTTATATCTGGATACACTCACACTTAAGAAACATTTCAGACTCCATACAGCACAAAGTTTTCCATTTATGAGAATAACAGCATTATTACGACATAGTTCGTGAGGCGCACATTTACAGAATAGTATTTTCAAATTGTGATCTTTTATAGTTTTTGAATCAAGCAGAATGCTTAAGATACAAGTCAATTTTATTTTAGTTTCTTCGAATTCGAGACCATAGTCTCAGTACTGACATCTGCAGACTTGATTGTGATGTAAACAGAGCATACTTTATATTTTCTGGTGAACTGATGTTTGTTTATGTCGCAAATTTAGTTTGTTACACAATCTGGTGACCTACTTCTCTTTCAGTTTACAATGAAGCTTTACCTGTTATCATCTCCTTTTGAGGATTTAGTAATCTCACGCAGTGTTTTTAAGTATTCAGGACGACTATTCTGTATTTTTCTTTGATAGAAATGAGTGTATGTTTAACTTGTTTTCACTTCTGTCTCCTTTGTAGGCTGGAGTTCGAACTACGGAACTAGCCGCGATTCTTTGTGCAACCTTTGAAAATGTTCAGGGAACTGTAATAGCATATCAGTATCCACCAAATTATGTCTCTCCTGTATGTTTCTTGTTTTCTATTTACCAAACTAATCATTATGCTTAAACGTATGAGTAACCATAAAATATTTTTATCTCATGATAGTGTTCTGTGATTTTGGTGTAGCTGATTCGCTTAAGCACTCGACTTTTTAGCCAGTGGGTCTCACATTCACATCTCATTCCATCTCCTTTAGCCTGGTCAACAGGGTGTTATCGTCAACTATCACACAATAAGTGTGGCTCATATCCTAATACATGATGGGCCTATTTTGGATAACTGAGTTCTAAAAGAAAGGAAGAGCAGTTTAGGCTTTTTCTGAGTTGTTTGGTTTAATAGTCACTTTAAAGGAGTTTGTCAGCCTTGTTCATGTTGTAAGTATATCTAGCATTCACTATGTATGCTACTTATTTTTGATTTTTTTCAACCTATGAACTACCACTTTGCTAACCCAGTGACTGTATCAAATAGATTTACAAACTCAAAGATCTCTGTGGATTAAATTTGATTTTTATCCCTCTGTGAATCTGATCACTTCAGTGCAAGGCATGTATGATGTGTTATTTTTAAGAATTATTTTCACTGATAGTATGAAATATACTTCAAATAAGTAAATATGTTCTTTACCTTATGAATGTTCTAGCTTTTTGTCTTCTTCTTTTCACAGACTCAGTTCAAGGAAATTGGAAATGCTGTCATTCCACGAGCTGAACTGGCCTTTAGATTAGTCACAATAGAAGCATTTAAACATTATGTTATCGGTTGTTTACAACGCATTGAAGGTGTTCAGTATAAAAGGAATACCTTACAGTTTAACATATGTCTAGTAATTAAGCCTAAATCAACTCCAGATAGAGATGATATATCACATTGGCAGTTTTGGGACGATCAATCTGCTGGTGGCCTGAGGCCCAATGTTCAAGCAGCCTATGAAGCTTTAACATTAAAGATAAATCGATATTTTTACTCTTTAGAAGAACAATGTGCTTTTCTGTCTCGGGCTTTGGGACATCATGATGGTGCAGTGAATTCTGTTAAATTGACTTGTCTTGATTCAATTTATAAACAGTTACACGAATCAGGAATGTGCATCATTTCATTTCCGAATTGCGGTTCTCTATACTTACGTGTACGTATATATTTTTTCATTGTGTTCAATATTTTCAAGGTTATGTTTTTAATGTTACCCAACAGCATCACATTACTTCTGACGCACAGCCTTCCACGATATTTAATTAGTCAGTGAAAGAAAATAAAGTATTTCATCTGGAGAGCAGTTTTGTTCTGAAATAGAATGCATTACCCATTTGATGATTAGAACTTACCCACTTAACCTATAGACTTTATGATTTGAAGCTAGTTGTTTACTAAGAAAATAAATAAATCTAGTCAGTTGATTGGTCTAAAGTAATGGATATAGGTAAAATAAACTGTGACTAGGTTCAGCATCTATGAAATAGCTTTGGATTCTTAGTAGGTATCTTGTTTTTTTTATTTCATAAGTCTCCTACGCCTATAATATTTATCTATTTGTGATCACAACCGCTAAATTATATACCAACTGTGTGTTAATATGCTTAATTTATGTTTATTAAGCCAGTTTATCTGTATCTAGTCATTCTGATGAGTGCCAACTAGCACGAAACCTAGGTCCAATGTTTCCTTCCGATTGCCTCCAACTATCTAATATCATCAAATCAATGTGCACCGTGATGGCGAGCTATCTAGAATGGTGGCCACATTGCAAAACCTGACTGATAGAATTCAGTTTGCACCAAAGAAAGGACTAGACACGTCACACTAGTTACTAGTGTCCAATGAAAATACTCACTACAGTCCTACAGGAGGTCAATCGTGAGCCCGAATAGCCCAGTGGTAATGTCTCTGACTGCAGCACTGGGTGATGCGGGTTCAAATCTCAGAAAGGACATGAGTTCCTTCAAGGTTGCAGATACGCCTTGCTGATGAGTGCCAACTAGCACGAAACCTAGGTCCAAGGCTTCCTGCCAATTGCCTCCAACCATCTAATAACAGTTAGTCATTCTCTCAGTTGTAATGCTAGGTCATATATACGCATAAATACTGTCTGACTTCCGTTACCTATTAGATGATACAAACGATTGCTACAGTAGAACCTAGTTCGTATAAAAGTTGAAACAATCAGAATTTTAGGCTAAATATTTGTTAGTCTGAATAATAAACTAATCCGTTTGACTGGAAAGTAATCAGTAACACATATCTGGTACTCCTGAAATCCAATTGTTAGTGTCTTTTGTTTCCTACGAACGTCCTTGATTGTGGTCGGCTTCTTCGATTCATGACTAGCTACTTTGTATGCTTAAGTCATAGGGTCTTCCTTGTTCTTTAGATTCTTTTCATTGTAGCCTTATATTACATAATAACATCTTTTTGTATAGTTGTTAAAAGTATCTTGAAATAATATAAACAACTAAAACTCATAGTCCTTTGGGGGGTAGTTCTTTATATCTACCCTTACCTAGTGATGTTTCATATCAGTTACAATGACTCATACAATCACTTATGTTTTAACATGCAGCTTCTTCGTATGCCCAACTTTTGATACTGATTTTACATCCTATTTTTTCTATAGAAAGCTACAACTCTCTTGATTTTAAACAGAGCACATGTGTCCCTCCGGGCTACCAAATATAAGGTTATGAATCGGAATTACAATACACCTACTCTGATTTACTAACATGGTAGTGTCACACATAGAGTGTATCTAATAGCATTCTATACAAATATGTACTGAGCTGCATTATAATTCCACTTTGCTTTTCCGAGACTCAAAAACAAATAACTGAGTAAATCTAAGTAATATTTTCTATATTTTGGGTGTATATCTTATCCGTAATCATGTAATTTAGCTGAGTAGTCCTCACATTGATTCACTTTGCTTTATACAGCCTATAAAGCCTGTTTAATTCAAACGAGTTAGTTAACTGTCTACGTAAATCAATGAAGTGTTAAAGAAACGGGAAGTGTAACTTTTTTTTAAAAAAATATTGTTTATTGTCATGATTTAATACATTTATATTATTTTATGACATTTAGAAAAAACTAATGCAACGATAGTTTATTTTCATATCCGTAATTTGGATAACTTACATCGATGAATGGTCATTGCTTCTGCAGATGTCAGAATACATACTTGGCTAGTTGCTTGCAAGATTTTAAACTTTATTTCAGCATTAATCTTATATCGTGAAATATACCCATTAATTCATAAGGAAAAACACAGTATTTTGTTTAGCGAAGAAATATCTCTTCTCAACAACTTCATTTCCAACCTTTACAGTCGTATTTATATTACGGAAAAAGGCACTAAGTGGCACTAGAAATTGCTCAGTCAATACTGCACATATGATAAGAATAAAGATAATTAAAATGATGTACTATGAGAGGTAGAGTCGAAGTTGATGAATTATAAAACCTTTAAAGATTATTACATAAGTAAACTGGTATGAAGATTTTAAACTTTTAGGTCAAGTGTTGTCTGAAAAATTAAGAGTACGATGATGATAACAATCAAGACGGCGAAGGTGAAGTTAAGTGGAATGAATTCAAGTGGTAAAATAGAATAAAATAAAAGAACATTATTATGACTAAGGTAAAGAAAGAGGTTTGATAAAACTTTTTTGAATACATAATCTAGGTTTTTGTCCATGTATAGCTAGAGCTTTGGCTATGCATAAGTGGAGAAAACGTAAGCTTTTGGAGTAATTGGATTTGGTCTTGTAGATAACTTTAAAGGATAAATCACGTGGGGCTGAATGGCCTGACCCCCGAAGGTGTTCACAGATTGAAGACTTTGTCGTCCTTTGCTCACCTTTCACTAACCGAACCGGATAGTGTTCGGCTACGCGTTTACGGAGATTTCGCTTACAACGTCCAATGTAATCTGCTCCACAGGAGCATGTGAATGAGTATATGCACATAGAGGTGGACATAAGCAGTGGTTTATCCTTGACGCATTGTCGAATCATATTTCAGCTGGTAAATACTAAATGTAAGTCAGCTGCATAAAAACACCGTTTAATACATTTAGATAAACGACTTTTAATTACTTCAGAAATACTGTCACCTTTGAAAGCCAAACTCATAAACAGTGTCTTCTTCGGCACTGTGATTTGGCTAAGGATGGTTTCTTTCTTGATGTTTCTGTCGATAAACCTTCTAGGATATCCAATATTTAAGAGATTTGTACGAAGGCTTTCTAATTCTAAGTCGATCGTATTTACGGAGAGAATTTTCCGAATTCTGGAGCATAGAAAACAAATAAGATTTCTCTTCCTGCTTAGATGTACCCAACTGTTGAAGCTAGTGTACTGCCCTGTAAATGTTGGCTTTCGGTAGATCGACCTTTTCAACGTACCGTCCTCTCTTCAATATTTATGCATTTCAGGTCAATGTAATCACATAAATAACAAATAGTTTCTACTAATGGTACATTTGTAAATAACAAGCCAGCATCTAATGAAATCATATGCTTACCGGTCACAATGATTCCATCAACGCAACTGACGAAGTCAAAAGTGTCTGAAAGACTATGTTTACATAGATTTGATCTTACTGGTTCAAGGATCTCAGAGAGCCATTTTGCTGTAGAATGATAAGGAGAGTTCAGCATGTCCAATATGGGTCGCAGAGGGACAACATCTTTATACACCTTAGGAATACCATATAAACGAGGGATGGTTGAACCAGACGGCTTGACGCATTCATACATATACAGAGTAATAATAGATTCGTCCTTCAAAGTTTTTGACAATTCATTCTCAATACCTTCTGTTCTATCATAGTAGATATGCTGTCTGCAAGTGTATGAATTGGTGGACTGATTGGGCGCTTCATTCGATGTTTTTTTCTAATGAAGCCACTATTTGATAATTATGCTTCATATTAGTGAATGAAGTTAGTTACAGAGTAATACTTACGGACGCATTCAGTATTTATAAAAGATCGTTGCATTAAATTATTTCTTTTTATTTTAGTCACACCGTTGTGAAGATTGTTGTAATTGACGTGTTTTTTCTTACTGTCTTTATTTTATTAGTTCAGTCCTCGACAAGATCGAGGATCATATAGTAACCTGTCGTTTGATACATCCGAACTTGTTCATGAACAAATTACAAACAGTGATACTGAATTGAAATTTGATCAAAAAATTAGACAAATCAATTTGCATTATAATAATCAACTTGTTTTTCCTAATTTCAATCCTCAAACTGAATCAGAAGTTACCGACGATTGTGTGTTCGTTGTAATCGCTTCACCATCTTATAAGTGTCATTCAAAATTGGGATATAATATGAGTGGTGGATGGAGGCCTTTGGATGCGGTTGCTCAGCGTATTTTGCCTTATATTGATGGTAAACGACGTTTAATGGAGTTAGCTCACTTGGCTCAATTGGATGTCACTATAGCTCGTTTATGTTTAATTGACCTTGCTCGAATAGGAGTTGTACGTTCGTTACCATATCCCACTTTTTTGGTTCCATCTTCACAAGTTGAAAGATTTTCAAATATGAATCTTATCCCCGGATGGTTGGGTTTACCACGATTAGCAACTCTACTTACAGATTACAACCTTAGCAGGATTTGCTTAGAAACGGTGGTAAGTATTTACTTTTTTTAATGGTTAAACTGCAATTTTCCTCTTTTATAAAGATTGAATTGTTGTGTATACAAGTTTTTTATAGTTGGTTTGTAAGGATTAGTTTTGTTTTTACGAGTTGATCACGGATTGATATCAGTTAGAGAAGCACTGAAAACCAGGGAGTACTGGACAGCTGTTTCATGGGCCATTGAATCGGCTCCCAGTCGCTGAATGGAATACGAGCTTGCCTTGTAACCGGGAGGTCCTGGGTTCGAACCCCAGTAGGTGCGTGCTGCCGATGATTCCCAAACTAGGATGAAACAGCTGTCCAGCACTCCCTGGTTTTCAGTGCTTCTCTAACTGATATCAATCCGTGATCCACTCGTATACAAGTTTACCAAATAAATGATATGGTTGCTAAATACCCGAGTCAACGTTACGACTATTGAAATATCATGTAATGACCTAATCATTACGAAAGAGAATTACGTCTGAAACGTAAGTTTATTTTTGTTATTGAATATGGTAGTAAAACACAGCGGGGAAATCTTCTAATCATGAACCTTCAATAGATCTTTATTACGAGATTTTTTCTTCGTGCCACTTCTAGGTAAATTTAATGTACTGGGACCAATTTTATTTTCTTAAAAGACTATGAGACGTGCTTATATTATTAATGTTTCCTTTAATTCCTAGAGGAACCTAGGGCTTCAACCGCACGTCTCCATTGCGTTCGGTTCTCTGACAACGTTTTCACCTGGCTCCACGTTCGCCCACATGCTTTCATCTCTTCTTCACATGACCTCCTCCATATCACCCCCACACTGACGACCAACTCGCCGCTTCCCTTTCGAGTTCCATTCGAACGATGGCCTGTCATGTGATACCACCTAATGGTTTTCTCGGAGTATTGCCAATCCACTTTCATTTCTTCCTGCATATTTGTTGCATGAAACGTGCTTACTGAACGTTAATGTAATGCGTGAAGCCACTAAAAATGTAGAACAAATTTGTCTACACATTTATGAACGTTTATTATTGAAATTGTTGTGATGCATACTAGGAGTTTCTGCTCACCTCCTGCCTTTATATACAGTGTTATGTGGAAAAGAACAAATCACTAACTTAATCTTTAACACCTTTATTATGTGGCTGTTAATGGAGACTTAGCATCGTTCATATGTTAAGACAGCATTTAGTTAGTCATGACAAATGAATATTGTTAGCATACTAATGAGTAGTTAAACCGAGGAGACAAAAAAACCTACTCAATTTATTTCATCATTCATAACAAGTAAATTGTAAACACAACTTATTTAGAATAAGGAACTGAGTAGTTCATTTGTCCTTCTATCAACCGCTGTCTGTTTATCGGCCTCCTGCACTTCGGCTATCAGTATGACGAATCATCTTGCTACTTAAGTACATTATCATCATTCCACCTAGATGATATCACTATTATTGGCTTTTCCTTATGATTAATCCCAGTTTCTTAAACTGTTCACAAGTTTTCGGAGTCACAAGATATGAATTTTAGGAGACATTTACTACTGGGAAGTTTAAGGTTTTTGGTTTAGGTATACAACATAACAGTTTACAGTAGTCGATGATTAGTTAACACAGAGACTCTTTCTCTTTTGCGAACGATGTGGAGGTGCAGCTTATTATAGTATCATAAATCCTAACTCATCAAGTTTAGATTTTTAGCTCTGATACATGGGAAAACATGAACATGGTGACTGATTTACGCCACTTTTACTCATTTTTATTTGGCCTTCTCGGTTAAAAAAAGGTTTATGAAAATGGAAAAAAAATACGTTTTTGGAGTTCATAATATCCTGCATTTATTATGGACGTGATACCGTTCTAAGAGTATAGCATTTAATATAATGAAAAATACGAAATGTATCTTTCCGTTGGTTTGAAACTGGTGAACAAATGTTTAAATTAGTGTCCCATAAGACGTTCGAAAAGCATGTAGGTTTGCGGTTCTTTGTTGAAAGTATCTATCCCGACTCCACGTAAAGATTTGACTAACCTTCACACAATTTATGCGGCTTATTGATAAATGTTTGACAATGCATCTAGTATGTATAGTGTTTCCGTTGTTATTCACAAATAATTTTTCTCTTACTTTTTTATATTCCTTTCTTAGGTGTCACATAATCATCATCATCCTCGTAAACCATATGGCCTGTGTATTCATGATATATTCCGTTTGTACACGGTGCTTTGTGCATCTTCTAATTTTAGTTTACCGTACTTAATTTCAGCCAATCCACATATTCGATTTACTGAATATCCTAACTGTATGAATTCTTCGTCTTCATCTTCTTCATATTATTCTCTCCCTCCCATTCAACCACTGAAATTTTGTCCTTGTTATACTTTTCAGTTTCATAAACGTCATCATCGTCATTGTTCTAAGATTAGTCTACTATCTCTTGTACAGTTCGGTGAAGTTAACGGTTTAATAAGACGAATTCAGTGTTATCCAATCAGTGATAAACTAGCACTGCCTGATGAACAAACTAGTAATCATCGACTACTGTCTGTTGCATCGTTATCATCAAAAGAATCCTCCGCTGCTGCAACTTCAGCAGTCATAATTACACCAAATTCCACTATGAATTCGACACACCAACAAATAGCACTACGTCAGATTAAAACTCATTCAAATTCTTTACGACATAATCCAAGTAAATTTAGTAAAAAACCAAAAATAATCAATGAACAAATGTGGTCCACTGCTAAATCTATGCTAATGGATGGTCAGCATAGTCTGGACTCAATTATTACCTTTATGGTAATAAATAATGACAGTCTAGTAGAATCTCCACCAACTGTGCATAAAATACCAGAGCATATAACTGAAATATCACAATTATACCGTTTTGATGAGTGTTTAGGTGGACAAATGCCTCATAGTGATCATGATATTTCTCAAATAAATAGAAGTAAATTATCGAACAGTTTTAGTTTTAGTCCTGATGATACAATTGTTAATAATAACAGTCAAATTGTTGAAGAAATGATTGCACATGATCGAATATCAGACAACAGATTATGGTCTAGACCAGAGGATTGCATGACTGCATTTATGGGCCCATTGGATCTAGACAAAACACACTTGACATTACCAGATCTTTATTGGATGTGGCGTTGAAAAGAAAAATTAAAAGTTGGCTGTCTTTCTCTCCTTCCCTCTCTCTCATGCACACACACACGTTCTCAGTCTCTTTTAATACTTATCATCTACCTATCAATTCCAACTGATTTAATTGATTTTTATTTTTATATTAAAGAATGATCATATTTCACTTAAGTGTAAAGTTTCAAAGTTATATTAATTTCCTCTTATCTTTTACACATTAAAAAGTATAAATGCGCTTAAATTTTATGATAGTGGGTTTATTGGTGTATTCTTTTTTAGTGATTTTCGTTACGCATTTATCATGTCGAAGTAGTGGGCACACTTGGATTACAATCAGTGAGTTACAAATGCGGTAAAAAGAACATTCCCTACTGCTGAATTACGCTGTGTCTTCAAAACCACTCCTCTTTTGCGTTCGGGAATAAGAGATAAACTGCCTAATTTCGTCTCTTCTATGCGTATCTACCAATTTGACTGCTCCGGTGGAACCAGTTACATAGGTCGAACAATTAGGCGTGTCTCTCGTAGGATTTTCGAGCATCACCCTGTGTGGTTAAGTAGAGGACAAACAAAATCTATTCGTAACGCTGCTATTCTATCTCATCTTGTGGATACAGAACACAAGATTGATGTTAACCAGGCTTTCGAAGTCATTTATCGCATACCAACAAATCTTAACTTCACCTTAAGAGTTCGAATACTAAATATTGCTGGTTCCGTTGGGATCCACATTAAGAAGTTTAATTTATGTGTCCAAAAGAAGCTAGTTCAGAAACTATTCTTACCTTTGCCATCTGGGTTTGAATAATCCTCAATTTTTGTAGAAATTTCCCGATTTTTAGTTGATATTCTATTTGCTATTATATCTTTATTATTATTAGGATAATTTAAGCATCTTTAATGAACTGTAATTCCATTGATCTTACTTTACAAATCGATATTATTTAAAAAACACTAATGTTGTTATTGACTACTATTCTAGGATATTCTATATATATATATATATATATATATATATATATATACATACATATATATATAATTGTAGAGCCAGAAGAGGAATTTATCGAAAAGGATATTCTTTACTCAATTATTTTGTGTTTTATAGTTACAATGTGTTTTTTACTGCATCTATTAAGGTATGAGAAAGCGAGTAGCACTAAAGCGCATTAAATACTAAAGGTGTTTCATTACGTCATATAAAATCCTCAAAGTAGTTCTTCATTATTTTATCAATTTATTATTTCAAATATTTCTTTTTCTTGCTAATTAAATACTATGTTTGTTGATCATTTCAGTTTGTATAAAATATGCTGTCAAGCATAACATTGATTGAGGATTTTATCCGCTTTGTATTTCTTGATTGTTAATAGGACTTTTCTCAAGTAGTTATGACCATGTAGCTATATCATTTAGTAAGTATTACTTGCCTTAATAAGTCGTGTATAATTACTTTGTATTATTCACAGTTAGAATGACTGTGAATTATGGGTTGTAATCATGATGTGGTGACTAGGGATTGGATTTGTGACGTACTTTTACTGAGATGATAACCTTTTGTTGTGGCTGTGGATGCAGTCATAAGCAGGTGCATGTACTCTTAGCGAGAATGAGAGCAAACTAAGTGTGAACGAAAAACGTGGTTTACTGTATGTAATCACCAATAATCTGATTAGATGGACTACACTTTTTCATAGTTAGTAATCGGACCCACAATGGGCAGTTAGAAGTAGTATAATTTCATAATTAAGTATATTGTTGTTCATTTAGTCATTTGTTATTTCCCTTATCTTGTCACAGTAGTATTTACTTATGTGTAGTCGAAAAACGCTTTCTTACCATAGCACTAATGTCATACAGATAACATGGTATCATATTTTGATCTTTTGGTAGCTGTATTAACTATTTAAGTTCATTAGTCAGCAAATCATTGCAGCTGGAAATAAAATTTGAAAACTGTGCAGATAGGATGTTAGCTAAAACGTATTAGGTGTTTAAAATGAAGAAAGTGTTTCTTAGTCAGTCAGTCTGTCTGGTTCAACATAGAACTTTGCACCGATGTGCAGCAGTTTGAGTCGCCACACTTCACTCAGCACACAAGGTCAGAGAGGAAAGTAAACAGAAACGCAAAATAGAGACAGTAAACAGAGATACGAGGCAAAAAGAATAGTAATGTGGAAGGACAATAGAATTTTGTTGAATATGATAAATCATAAAGAGTGGATGCATCTGCGCCATTGAGAGCGATTTTGAGCCATACCACCAATTGTCTCCAGCCATTGGTTTTTACCGTCCCGAGGACTCCAACCAAGCTGACAGTCTACACCTGCCTACGTGCCTGACTGGCTTACGCTAACTGTTGTGGATTTCATTGACTGATGAGGCCATGTTTTGGTTTGACCACCACTGGCTCCTTTCCAATCTGACCCTATGTCAGCTAACATTGCCCGTTGTCGAGGAAGGCTATGGTTAGGCATTCGTAACACATGTCCTAACTATCTCAGTCGATGTAACTTCACAGCCTCGTCTGTTGATTTCCCCTCTTTACCTAGCTCTCGACGCCTAACCTCAATATTGGTTGCCCTTAGAATTATTACAGGTAAGTTTTTGCAGTCGTTTCTGAAAATATACTTATAATAAATACATGTTTTGAAGGAATTATGTACATTGTAAACAGTAAATATTTCGTATAAATACTTAAACTACTTCTAAGTAGTCATGTATAATATTCTCAATGCAGAATAACAACTAACAACACTAGAACAATATGTAATACTTTTAGTTAGTTGATGATAAATTCCTTTTATTGGATTAAATTATATTGATAGGTTAACCTCTTATAGTTGAAATGATTGATGCGTCAATAACAAATATAAGAGAAATTAGAAGGTATTTTTAAAATTACGCTTGTTCAATGTGACGGATTTTTCAGCTTTGTAAATTATCAATAACATATTTTACAGGGTAGATACGGATGAGTGTCATAATCTTTTTTTTATCCTTCACGTTCACCAGTGGAACATAGGACTTCAAACTAGTGGCTTGAAGTTTCTGTAGCAGTGTTTATTTTACAGGATGGGGTTGCTAGCCTCATGCCCAACCTTTCCTCTTCACCAGCATTATTTCTGGCTTAGCGAGGTCGTAATCTTAACTTTAAAAATTCAAATGAGTTTTCAATTCCCTTTTTTTCGTCCTATAACACTTTTACTACTAATTTTGATTCTGAGTAAACGATGCATCCTCCTCACGTGATTGCTACTTTGGCGTGATGACGAGGTTTGTGTATCATAGGAATTTATTTGAGATATATTTTTAGAATGTTATTGCCATTAGAAAGTGTGTTCAGCAATAAAGGCATTCCATGCAGTCTACTCCTCAATCACAATGCTTAAAAATTATGGTTTAGATATGGATCGTATGAAGCGTTAAAATCAGTTATGTCCCAAAGATAATCAGCAATCCCAGCAGATGTTGAATTTATTTTGTTAGGAGGCAGACTATAAGAAAGGTTATGGTTTAAATAAACAAGACCTAATATATAAATTCTCTTTTTACAATAATCAGTTTTTACTGAATACGGAGTCTAAACATTTCTAAGTAAAGAGTAGCACATTAGGCTAGTTCGTCTTATTTCGTTATTTGAATCAACTTCTGAGCGTAGTTTTTTTCGTCGTAATATATATATATATAATATATATATCAACCCGTTGAATCGGTTATAGTAGTCAAGTACTATATACGTATCACTGGGTTCAACACTGTTTGACACAGGTTCAAATCTCCTTCGGGATATCAGTTCTTTCTAGATTGGAAATACACCTTGCTAACGAGCGTCAGTATTTATTAAATCTAGGTCCAAGGCTTCCGGCCGGTTGTCTACAATTCAGCTTATCTTGGGGAATACGTTACAAAGCTGACTGATAGTGTCCAGTCAGCAGTAAGGACTACATATATGGTATTGGTCACTTTCTAGTGGCCAATCAATTTGAGTATATTCAGGCAACTATATGTATTGAATTAGTTGTAATTTCGAACATCAAGAGAAACATTGGTTGATTTGACTATCACGGCCTTTAGCTCATCGGTAGACATATTATACTGCTTTCAAATACTATTTGGAAGAGTAAGAGCTGTGTCACTCTTTTTGGAGCTTGTCATTCGTCACCCAGGCAACAATTCGCACAATGAACGTAGTATACATAGAGAGAGATGACTACTGGCAGACATTTTCGAGTATAGCTTGATGATAACAAAATCAGTGCTACGTTCAATAGCGAAGCAGCTAAACACTGTATGGAACATTACAACACTAACCATGGTGACAGAATTTGTGCTATTTTTAGGCTAATGGGAGAGCATCAGAAGAGACATAAATATACCATGGGAATAAGATCGAAAAGGGTTAATGAATCTCAGTATTTACCTCAAAATTAACTAACTCATAAGAAAACACTCAACGAAACTTCTAAAAAATTCGGAAAGGAACCAGCCTGAGTCTGTGCAGTGAATGAAGAAAGTAGTGGAAGGCGAAAGCAACAGGATTGGAGAATACAACACTGTTAGATAACAGTAGATAGCTGTTTCAATTTGTCACAGATATTAGTATGTATGGCTGGTTGCCCTATTGACAACACAGATGATAGAAATTGCTTGTTGAAGACCATGAAGAAAGGTTTGACCAGCAGTTCAGTAAGTCGTCTTTATGTATTCGTAAGCTGACTAGGAAACCGTTATATCTTTACAGCTCTTTCTGAAGCTGAAAAAATTGTGACGACTACAAAATGAAAGATTTTAAGCACTAGAGGGAAGAACACCAGTTGCATCGCCTGATCTAAAAGTGACTTCAGACTCTGTCAGCCAAGGGGGTCTTCTAACGCTATTTTACAATTGTATTTGTGACATCATTAATAATTATAATAATTATTGTTGTTCGTGGTGTCCCAAATGGATGATCCTTTTTAAAGTGCACTTATTCTCTACCATAGGATATCTATAAATTGCTGTCAAATTCCAGATTTGAATTTAAAGTAATTGCTCTCCTTACGGGAAGTTCATGGATTGATTCAGTGTTTGATATATTCATTTTGCATGATGACTGTGAATGAATGACCCAGAGTGTTCGATA